TTGCAATTTCCAATATATAATCCAAATATCCAATCAGCGTGATTTGAAGGGTATAAAGTCTAACAATTTTAGGGTACTGCAACCACTCTGGATTGATTTACAATTTACACCAGTAAACTTGGGGCGAACCGACTTTGGGGCGAACTGACTGTGGGGCGAACTGACTGTGGGGCGAACTGACTGTGGGGCGAACTGGTCTGGGGCGAATGTGCATTGGGGCGAACTGACTGTGAATCGTCTTGTCAATCTGTTGGTCTGGAACAGGACAGTGGTTAACATATAATCCCCACTAAATGCAACCGGTGTATACAATGCACTCAAAACAAAATAATGTTTCAGGTGCTCAGTCTATGATCAAATGGTATGAACTAAATAAGGAACTTACCCACGATCCATTTTTAGCAATTAGTGAGTTTTATGATTTGAAGACAATCTGGCCACCCTGGCCCTGTAAATGATATTTACACCAAATAGAATCCCCCAACTTTCAAGGCATGAATCTGAAACTAAAATAAATTCATATTAAATTGACTGGACGTAACATAACACAAATGAATGACAAGTCATCAAATATCTTTTTCTGGTATTTATCTTTATTTTACACCAGGTCTAAATTACTGAGTACTGTTAACTGCACTGAATTTAGTACTGTAACTGAAAAATGTTACAGATAGCAGTGCTGGTCAAAAAAACGCATATACAGGGATGAGAATGAGAATTTAATTTTTCGACTGAAAGTAATGTAGCCGGGGTCCGGGAACCGTAGTTGATCAAATCGTTACAATACAGACACTGCGCCTTTCCTGGGACCTCGCACTTGCTGATGAAGTCACTCAATTTTTCAGTTACCACTTCATCTTTCTTCTCGATTCGCATGGTCAAAGTCCCTTCCTTGTCAAGCAATGCCCAACGAAATTTGCTCCTAATGTCTTTATAGATCTCTCGCGCAGCTGACTCGTTGTCTTTTGTAACCAATTTCACCATTATCGCTCCATGAACTTGTAAACAACGATCCAATGCGGCTAACAATTGAAACAATAAAATGGCGCCGTTGATGAAAAGTAAAATGAAAGCTCTTCACTGATTGGCCCGTCAGAGCAAACCCAGCCAATAATGTCGTTATATATTACTTCGAACACTTCAAAACCACTTTGGATTTTACGATTGCACTGAAGAAAAGAGTCGCAAACATTCTGCATTGGAGACACCACGAGTTGTCTCCCTTCGACCATACACTGATACAGGCCCTTTGCAGCTAACAACAATGACCCGTCAGCGTGTTTACTTCCGATGAATGTACAGATTTGTATTCTTACCCCCCCCCCCTAAAATTTTCTCTTTGGATTTAGACGTTTCAGAAAATCGATCCTTGCGGATCCGCGGAAAGTTCTCATCCCTGCATATAGTTGTGTGGTTCTGATAATACCAAGAGTGGGCTATTCAAAAATAGAAAAGTTGATGTTTTTTTTTTTTTTTTTTCACACTTTGTATAAAATTTACTATGCATTTAAAGTGGAGGTAGACACGTGTTTGTGAACAATGAATCGCTATGGCCGTTCACCGTAGTGCAGGTGACGACTCCCTTGCTTTAACTATCATTTCATCATCATGTTGGCACTTTATACAGGACATCAGAAACACAATGTTTGAAAATGTCTCTGTGGTTAGACACCACTTTAATTTGATGGAGGAATAAAACAATTACCTGAAGGTCTCAATAATAATGATTTTATTACTTCTGCTCAAATCTTGCAACATTCAACAAAAACAAATTTAGGAGGCAGCTGCTAAGAACTTACAGGTTTGGAAATTTACAATAAGATAATTAAATAATTACACCTTACCGTAATTGTAACTAAATTAATGATGAATTATTATTTTATAGCGAGGTAAGATGGATAAATGGAAAACATTGAATTTTAGGTGGTTTACCCGAAATTGATAGAACCCTCAACAAATTGCAACGATGTACATGTGCATAAATGCAGTTCGTCGTGCCAGGTGTCAGCAAGACAATTATTCACCGGTCACAGGTGGAACGAAAAAGACATTGCATCGAGAAACAAACTACATGTACTACTAGTAACAATGGCTTGTCGGGAGTTCTTTTGTTGCTGTTTCGTAAACAACGTTATTGTTATTACTTCACCGGCTCGGGACAAAGAGATCCGGAAACGATTGCGTGGAACGTTGATCGTTTTTATAAATAAGCCGAATGCAAATGAATACTTACAGACACACTTTTTATTCATAAACGAAATCCGGACCGTTTACCGATTGTATCAACAAAGGTACAATTACTGTGTTATAAATAATAGGATCAAGTGTTGATCTTTAGAATGAATTTCAAACTGCGTAAAATATTGAACAATCATAGCCTATCAGCTGGTTATTGCAACCCAATCTGTCGAATCAGGACGTCCATTTTTTTATTTTTGCTCGAAAATAGGGAGATTTAGAAATATAAGTCCGGGTTATCAATGATTTTTTTCATTAAATAAATAATGCATATCTCCCAAATTTCACACAATAACAGATCATCAATCCCTAAAAGAAAATATGAAACAATTAAACAATAATATTTTCTGAATACGAAAATATAGAATATTTTGTGTACTTACCCGTTTCACGACTCTGACACGTCCGCCATATTGATGCGTACTGGATATGCGCATTAGCAAGTCGATACCATTGTTGGATTATGAATGTAAGAGTGGATCATAAATTCACAACGTTCATCTTACTTCCAGTGCGATTATATCACAATTTATTGCCAGAAATGAAATATAATTGTATTAATTTATGTAAGAATAAATTAGAAATTACTTGATAAAATATTAAGCTGATACATCATCTTTCATCCCTGTTTCATTCAATGGTTTCGCCCGAAATTCTATATAGCGCCACACAGCGACTAAATTACTTCATCGAAAAAAATGGCGTCGCCGGTTCATATGTGTCTTATTATTCTACACATTTCACTTATTGTTTTAGCCGGGTAAGTGTACAATTTCTCAATTTAATTTCACTCCTACACTGCAGCCATATATTGCCAACTATATTCTCACATTTTAAGCGGACTTGCTTTCAAACTTCATAGTGGTGATCGTTTGGAATCGTGTTGGTTCTGTTATATTGTGTTCCACCACATTGAAATGGTCCAGTCAAACTTAAATCGTACACGTGTGCATATCGACGGTCATTTCCGCTAAACTGTCTGTAATTTTGTTTCATTTTCACACATTTATATTCTAGTTTTGTTATTATCAAGTATGTTATGACACAACTTGAAAAAAAAAACTCCAACTACCATTCTCAGCTCGTCTTATTTCGATATCATGAAGATAAGTCTTATCCAGAAATAATAGTTCAGTATGACGGAACTTCTTAAAACTAATAAATGTTCAGTTAATAGAAATATTTGATGCTGTTAGAAAACTTAATAATACCTACAATACTAGTATGTTCCCACCCCGGTTTCCACATTTTGCAATGTGTGTCGTATGGTCTGAAGAAACTACAAACACCCGCCGATTCGGTAAATTGCTGTGACAGTCTTTTAATACAAAAATCGTAGTCAAAATTCCATGTATAGAATAACATTCTCATTTTTTCACTTACAGTCGAGATTTCTATGCCATACTCAATGTACCTAGAGATGCATCAACAAAACAGATAAAAAAAGCTTACCGAAAGCTTGCCATGGAATTACATCCTGATAAAAATCCAGATAACCCCGATATAGAAGAAAAATTCCATGATTTGGGAGCAGCCTACGAGGTAAAGTCAATTAACAGACATTCTTAACTTCCTTGTTACAAAATTAGAATAAAATAGAACTTCAAATCTTAGCTTGTTGGTACACAAATGTACATGTATACAATCACAAGATCGATTTCCTGATTGCACACAGTATTTTGTTGAAAATAATATTCCCAGTGGCCCTATATCATTAAAATAAGCCCTCATTTATTTGTAGCAATAATAATATTTTGTATGTTAAAATAAAAATATTACAAAATATTAATAATCCATTCAGTTGAGGAAGTACTGCCGGGTTGTGTATATACATTGTATTTGCCTATGTGACTGTGAGTAAGTGTGGCCATAGCTGATTGGTTGATGCCTCATTTGCATAATAATAGACAAAAGGTATAGAACTTTGACCCAGCTGCTATCTCATGTGTTTGTGTACATCTATTGCGTGGAATGAAACTAATTAAACTCCACTTTCTTTTTAGTGTATTTTGGGCTTAGAAATGTGTTTTTTTGTTGTTTTTTTTAACCTGAGGTAGCAGGGAATGAATGAGTACATTTTTATTTGTAGGTCTTGTCAAACAAAATAGTGTTGTTCATTGTTTGTTGCAATATGGTCTATGATTTATTTTAATACCATATACTTTTACAATACTATTTGACAATTATTAGTCCCCGTCGGACGAAGTCCGAAAATGGGGACTTATGTGTTGACCTCCGTGTGTCCGTGTGTGCGTGCGTCTGTGCGTGCGTTTGTGCGTGCGTTCGGACCTGTATCTTAGAAATGCCTGGACCAATCACAATCAAACTTCACACATACATCATACATGATATCATACATATGCACATCAATTTGTTTCACGATCTGATTCAAGATGGCCGAAAGGTGGCCATTTTTGTTCTAAAAATCATCAAATTCAAGCATTTCCCGGCTGTTTACAGATGGATTTTGTTCAAACCTTGTATATACGTTGGACATTATAGGACCTTGATGAACATCATTTTGTTTTACGATCTGATTAAAGATGGCTGAATGGTGGCCATTTTTGTGCTAAAAAATCATAAAAATCATGCATTTCTCAGCTGTTTACAGATGGATTTTGTTCAAACTTGATATATACATTAGACATTATGGGACCTTGATGCAAATAATTTTGTTTTTCAGATAACATTCAAAATGGCCGACTGGTGGCCATTTTGTTTTAATGAATGGGCTTC